AAGCAAATTATCATATACGTAACATGCATAATAATTTATAATTAAAGATCGGAAAATGCAAACTCAGAAATAGGTAGTAAGTATGTTTTGGAATAAGTAGAAAAAGTAAACGTTAATATTAGAAATAATATTAGGTCATTTTTAAAATAAATGACCTAATATTAGAAATTTAGAATCAATGAATATTGTTTTTAAAAAACATGATTTACTAATGATGAACTTGACTCATAATAATAATAATAATAATTCTGAAAACAATACTCCTAATACTCCCTTCGTTCTTTATTATTAGTCCTCCATTCCATTTTGGGCTGTTTTTTTATTTGTTCTCCTTTTCATTTAAGGAAAGTTTTTATAATCAATATACCTTTATACCCCCACTTATATTACCATTACTTCTTTTTCTTTCCTTCTTTTTGATTTACTCACTACTCATTAATTACACATTTTACACTACCCCTATTACTTTTCTCTTAAAACCCATGCCAAAACCTAAGAGGACTAATATTAAAGAACGGAAGAAGTATGATACAACCAATTTAATACAGTGTAATTACTAATTTCAATTTCAAAAGTAAATAATTAAATATGAAATCATATCCCATCCAATACATAATATCCAGTGGAGGAGCTAGGGGGGGGGGGCAAGGGGGGGCAAGCGCCCCCGCTCCGACCAATTTTTTTTACTAGTATTACTTATAATATGTTTCTTGCCACGGCTTCTTTTTTTAAAAACAATAAGTACAACTTAAGGTTATTTTAAGATTAAGTGTTAATTCTTCAATTGTTCCTAATCAGTCTATCTCCGGTATTGGAAATGCCACTGCGTCAAATGAAAATATTGCTAGAGATGAGAGGAATGAGAGGGACAAGAGAGCCCGAACAGAAAGTACACATGAATGGGATATTATTAGTGATCCATTTTTACGAAAACCAATTAATGAATATGCGCCGGGGGTTAGGGATGATGTGATGAGAGCATATGTTGTTAAAGGTGCTTGTCAACTAGCATCTCATAAGTTTCCACGAACTGAATTTGGAAAGTCATTAAGGAGCTTTCGAGGAGAGTGGTTTAAAACTTGGGAATAGTTGGAATATAGTATTTCTGAAGATGCTGCTTTCTGTTTTTGGTGTTACCTTTTTCATGGGCAAGAAGGAAAGAGATTTGGTGATGATGTGTTTGTGAGGACCGGATTCCGTAACTGGAAGAAGTCTCCTCAGTCTTGCGGAGTTGTATTCATCTGATTTTTCAGCTGTTGAACAAATGGAGCTTAAAGAACAACTCCAAGTTTGGATATATGAGATGAGAGGGAATGAAGCATTTTCCACTTTACAAAGTATTGGTGAAGTGTCTAAGAAGATGGTTGAGCTTACAATTCACAAATCTTTTCACTTGGTCAATCGTCTTATTGAGTTGGCTCTAGTGTTACCAGTTGCAACAGCCACAGTTGAAAGAGCTTTCTCAGTGATGAATATTATCAAGACAGATCTTCGCAATAAGATGGGAGATGACTATCTTACGGATTGTTTAGTATGCTACATCGAAAGAGACATTTTTCAAGTAATTGATAATGAAGCTATTATGCAGCATTTTCAAAATATGAAACTCGTAGGATTGATTTGCCTACGTTGCAAAAGTAAATCAAGTAGCATGTAATGAACTATAATTTTTTTGCTAATTAATTACGCCATTGTTGTTCTTATTATATTTTGGACACGCACTTTAAAATTTTTAGTCTTCAATTTGCCCCTCCTTGGAAAAACCTCTGGCTCCGCCACTGATAATATCTCATCTCGCAGCCATCCCATATAACCCATCCCAGCCATAATAACCATAATAACCAAATAACACACTTTAAATATTTAAAATACTATTCTTATTTAAAATACACACTCCATAAAAGAGTTTTTTTCGAATTAATGTTAATTAATTAATTAATTAAGAAAATAATGCTGGGAAAAAAGTATTTACCAATATATTGCTGGGCCTTAACCACGGTCAGGGGTAAGTCGCCTAACCGTTGGGCGACTTATAAGTCGCCAAACCGTTTGGCGACTTATAAGTCGCCCAACGGTTGGGCGACTTACCCCTGAAATATGGTTGAAGGCGAGGAGCTACTGCCAGCCACGCACGATCGTGCGTAACCTGGGACGCACGATCGTGCCTAGGTCCGAAAATAGCATTTCAGCAGATTTTTCGCCCCAGTTCAACCCGGACTCATCTGTTTGCTATAAATAAGGTCTCTCTTCTCTTGTTTAAGTGTTACGAGCCAGATACAACACATTATAAAACATACAACACACGTCTTCTCAATCACATAGTGGCCAAAAAGTGTCGTGCCTCCAAACTCATTTCACCTATCTTCTTGAACCCACCATCAAATTTCTTTTTCTGATGTTGCCGTGCGGTCAGACCAAAAGATTTTTTAGATGAATGTCTTTGAAATGAGTGTGCACATTTGATGCAAGATGGCGGATGCATAGCCTATGATGCGCATAAGGCTCCTCCCAAGTACTGCCCACCTCATTCATTGCCCTGACAATACCTCCATGTCTATCTGAAATGACACACATCTCCCTGTTACTCACAAACTGCCTAATACATGCCGTAAACCATGGCCAACTATCTCCATTTTCAGATTCAACAGCTGCAAAGGCCACTGGAAATATTTGGTTGTTCGCATCACAACCCATGGCCACGAGCAATGTACCCTTGTACTTTCCATACAAGTGTGTCCTATCAATAGTAAGTACGGATCGACAATGCTTAAAACCATGTATTGATGCCTTGAATGCCCAAAAAACTCTTTGAAACTGCATATAACCTGTGGGAGTATTGGGGGTGGGTACCATTGAACAATAGTTCCAGGATTTGAATGTTGGAGCGCTGTCATGAAACGGGGCAATTCAGAATATGACTTCTCCCAACCGCCAAATATTTCTGCTATGGCCTTTTGCTTCCCCATCCATGTTCTCCGGTATGATACCGTATACCCATATTTTTCCTTCAGCATCTCAATGATAGTATGCACTTTAAGAGAAGGATCAGTGCGAACAATGTCTATCACATCTTTAGAGATGAATTCTGAAGTCAAAGCCACGTGATCGGTTGTGTCGGTGTTGCCAATGCACGTAGCAGAATGAGGTCCAGGATAACGCACAATTGTGAAGGTGTCAAGGTTGCCTTTGTTCTTTGTGGCGCGTATTCTCCAGGGGCAATCACATTCTTTCTTCCTTTTGCATTGTGCCACCCACTTGTGTTTATCGGACTCTATCACCCGATAAAATTGGTTCCGTTTGATAGAATACAAGCTCACCATATTGATGACTTGTTCTTTGTTGTCAAACTGTTGACCGACCTCAAACTCACCATCGGGGGTAAACCTTTTCTCACCTGATCCACTCATCCACGCATCAGTAAACCCTTCAGAGAGATCATAAATTCTAGTAAAATGGCTAGACGGGGCAGTTTTGTGACAGTATCACCACCATCTTCATCAGATTCTGTCATGTCATCGCCATTGATGTTTTTGTCAGCATCATCATCAGTTCCCTGCCCATCCACAAATGATGCACCATTTTGCAAATACCTACCATCTTCCTGTATAACCATGTCCAGTACAGGAGCCTTTGAGGAGTTCCCTGCATTCACCCCTGCATTGACATCATGCGTAGATACGACAACATTTGATGTTGATTGAGTACCATGGGCGTCACAAGATTCCTCAATGTATATCTCAAGCGTCGACATATCCTCCATCTGAGTTATGCCCCGCATATTTGTTATAGCTAGCTCATCAATGAGGGGCATAAGCATGTACTTTCCCCCGTTCATGGGAAATTTCATTTTCAACCGCAAAGAACGGCTAGGATGAATCATTGTGGTTGCATGTATTTTTTGAAGGATCTCCAGCATGCAAGCGCCACGAGAAACCATGACAAAGCTGGTTCTACCACCTTCAAGGCATATTTGCCCAGCATCCTCATCATAGTTCCCTCCCCAATGACATATGATTGGGAAGCTTGAGAAATCCATATTCTAATAACAATTCATTGTCCAACATTCATGAGTAGGCATCAATATACACACTTTAAACACATTCAAATTTTCAATAGAAAAAACTACCAAAATTGTAATATATCCAAAAGTCAAAATTCACAAACAATTCACATTTCAATATGAAACTACCAAACAAACTTTTGATATCTACATTCACGTCTACCTTTCAATACCCAATTTTAGCTACATTCAAGTCTACCCAAATGCCAAAATGTCAAAATACACATTTAAATTTACAATCAATTTAAAATTTAATTTCAACATTTCATACATATCCACATTTCACAACAACTTAATTCACAATCAATTCATAATCCAAAAATTCGAAATTTTTAACATTCAAAACCCTAAGTTCAAACTGGGATGAAATGGAGTTTGATTTACCTAGAAGAAAGAAGAAAGAGTGTTGAAGATAAAGATGGAGGTTTGCCGGAGTGGGGTCGCCAGAGAAGGAGGCTCGCCGGAGTTGGAATTGCCTAGGTCGTCGTTCGTCCTTCGTTCGGTCGTCGCTGCAGCTGGGGGGATTTGGGGATTGGGTTTTACGCGTATATAGTTCTGTTTTGTGGCTGGGCGGTGATTTTACTTAAGAGAAAGTCGCCCAACGGTTGGGCGACTTTCCCCGATCATGGTTAGTCCAGCAGTATTTTGGTAAATACTTTTAACCCAACCCTAATTTCGTAATTAATTAATTAATTAACATTAATACGGAAAAAAAACTCTCCATAAAAACACTTGATGCCCAACTTGCTATACTTAAATTAATATATATAATAAAAATATAAATATAAAGAACACAAATAAATATAAAAATAACTACATAAAAATAAATAAATATTTATATATTTATATATATATATATATATAAGTAGGTTGGCCTGTTAAGCTATATTTGGACTAAGCTTGACCTATTTAGACAAACGAGCTTTTTGAAAAGTCTAAACCTAGCATGATTTTTACTTGTCCACCCGTACTTTGGGCCCCTAACGATATGTATCGTCGTCGTTCATGAAATCCAAAACCATGCTTGATCTCCTCCATTAAAATACGTACTAGTAGTATATATCGCATCTTGTCTCTAGTAAAGTTTTTTTGAAGTACGAACGGTGAATCTCAAATGGCTCCCACTACAAGTAAGAAATTTCCCTACGCTTGTTTTGTTTAATCCGATTTCGTCATTCCTTCTGAATAGATGCGACGAAGATATGAGGTCTATAATAGGAAATGTATGTTTTGTAAATTGAATTTCACTGCGTTTTATGATAATCTGCTTGGCTTATCGAGGAGGGTGAAGGGTTATAGAATAGGTGGTTCCTTGGTCCGCTAATCCGTTGTTTGTTTGATGAACTTTGATCCGGTTGTTCGTTGGCCTGAAACAAAGCTTTTCCGTCATTATGTGGGGTTGGGAAAACACAGTACCGCAATCAATGGAATTATGTTCGTGTGATCGTATCTGATGTTTTCTGCGGCATCTTTATTTAGTCCGTATTTAGGGGTGTTTGGATCTGATTCTTAAAACTGCTTCTGCTACTTGATTATTTAGTTAGAGTGGTAGGATGAAAATGCAGAAGTGATTCTGGTGCTCTAATTTACTCCTAGAATAAGTTTTTTTTAGAAGCGGGGATCAGCTTCTGGAAACTGATTCTGATTCTACTTCTTCTTTAAAAAAGAAGTAGAAGCATAATCAGTTACAAACATCCCTTACGATGCTCTTTTTTTTGTTTTTTTTTTATTCTTCTTTTTTTATTACAAACTGGTTGGGTTGCTCTAGTTGTGGAGGTGGATGTCCTTCTGGTCGTTTAGGCAACTCCTTGAACCGTTGATAAGTTGTTTCAACATGTATTTGGCATTTTGATCTTGTGATTGGGTGCCTGTAGATACACATTCGGGTGGCTGAGGGTTTGGGGAAGGGCAGAGGTGAAATGAATAGAACTATCTTCATATTCGTAGTCTTAATTTGGTTGGTGATATACTACATAGTTGGCCTGGATTTGATATTTTTCATTTTTCATTATCATTTACATCCAGATATCTTCCTGTCATCACTTTCTCTTTCCCAATTTAAGTTGTTTCTGTAATATGGGATTTACAGGGAGTGCGCTGAATCGCTCTAAAGATGAGAAATCTTCTAGCACTAGAAGAGGTTTTGTTTCTAATTTCCTTGTTTGAACTAATCTTGTTTATTTTAACTTTTTTGTGCTTTTGTTTTAAATCCTTTCACTCCCACTAGTGTTTTCAAATCTTCAAGCGTAGGGCAAGGTTTTTGCTTGGTCCTGATGCTGGCTGTGTTGAATGACTGCGGCTCAATCATTTCATAAAGATTGGGTCACTAGTTTGTTATGTTTGGGTTATTCTTCACCGGAAAGATTGGTATTTTGCAGGGAAGAAGTGTTACTCCGCTGATATGGAGAAGCATAACTACGGAGGTCTGAAATACAATCCAGCTTGGGAGAAATTTAAAACTACTGCAAAGGTAATAGTGATGTCTACAATGATTCATGGCGTGCATATATAGTTTTCTTCTACCATTTAATGCCTTCGCAAAAGAGAGAAAAAAACAGAATCCCTAAACTTGCAGGAGATTCATAAAAGTGACCCAGACATGTGTAGATCATTTCGTAAAATGTTCGATCAGTTTCACAGCTACAAAAAGTGGAGTAATGGTGACTCGTTCGTGAAAGCGGTAATGCCATCTTGCCGTCATGCATAAGCTCTCAGTCACTGTTGTTATTATTACTCCCTTCATCCTCAAAATTCTTCCCGGTTTGACTTAGATCGGAATTTTTTGGAACGTCGGAGGAAAGGGGGAAGAATTTTTAGGATGAAGCAAGTATTTGTTTATTATTACTACACACGTGTGTAACTGTGTATTAATTCGTGCGCAGGTGAGTGAGAGTTTTCCAGAATATCCACAATTTGTTGAGGCATTATCTGAGCTGTTGAAAGCTAATCCAATGTTGATACCAAATACTTCTCCACGGTCTGCAGGCTTCTAGCTTAATAGTTGGTGTTTGTTTCCCCTTACCCCTACCGGAATATATTTGTTTGCAGTTTTTACTTGAACATTACTAAATTAGAGTCGATTTCCGAAATGGTGAACACTTTTAAATATTGACAAAAACGTGGGTAATAAAGTCAGATATTTGTTAATGTTACCAATAAATAAGTTACTTTCCGAATAAGTCAATTTCCGAATTTCACTTTTAAATAATGAAATTCATACCAATAATATGTATTTTTAACGTTTGTATAATGATTATCCCTACTAAAGAAGTTAGTATATATAGACCTTTTTGTAATGAATATTACCAAAATAGATATAATTATATAAATGACAAAACTGGTTTTTAAGTTTTCCAAAATGAATGTTAAGCCATTATTTAATACGGAGTATTACATTTTAATATTCTAATAGTCCATTTACTATTCTAATACTCCATTTTTATAATTGATAATCAATTAATGTGTTCTTATGAGTTATGACTAGGGCTGGACTCGGGTTGGTTCGGGCCGGGGCCCGGATGGGCCGGCGATTTTGGAATAGGGGGCCTGGAACTGGCCCGGGTAATCCCCGGGTCGGGCCGGACCGGCCCGGCCCTCAGACCTTTGTTTTTTTCCCTTTTCCTAGTTAACCCCCACCCCCAAACCAACCCAAACAACCCCAAATGGCCCAAAGTACCCAGCCCAACCTGAAAAGTAAAAAAATTGAAAATAAAACTAAAAAGGCCCGGAATCGGGCTCGAACCGGCAGGGCCGGTTCAGGATTCGGGGGACCCGAGCCCGGATGAAAACCCCCGCGGGTCGGGCTTACCGTGGACTGGTTACTGACCGGGCCACTGAGCCGGGCCTGAACAGGCCCGGTTGGGCCACCCAGCCCGAGTCCAGCCCTACTTATGACTCAGCCACCATCACCGTTAGTGTTGGATTTGGCTCAGACATCCCGGCCCGTGGACCGGTTCGGTTCTCGGGTCCAGGTCAGGACTAGGCCCAAGGGAGTGGGTCCTGGCTCGGGTCTTACTTTTGGCGACCTGGCCCAAATTGATTTTTTTTTTTTTTTTCATTTTTTGGGTTTCACCCGGGTTGGGCTTGATGGTTATTGGCTAGGAGGGGTTTGGGGGGGTGGGGGGGGGACAGGGCTACTTAGGAAAGCAAAAAAAAATAAAAACAACCAAACCGGAGGCCCGGCCCGGACCCGGTGGCTACTCGGACCGGTCTTGGGCCCACCAATTTTGAACCGTTGGCCCGCCCGGGCTAAAGCCCGTCCCGGACCGAGTCCAGCTAAGGGTGGACCGGTTCCGGTTCGTGCCCGGTACGGGCCTAGGCCCGGCTGGGCCTCGGTTCAGAAAAATGAGGCCCGAGCCCGAACCGGTGGTGGGCGGTTCCGGGCCAGAACCGGGCCACCCGGATTTTTTTCTTTTTCTCTTATTTAACCCCCTAACCCTCCCCCTCCACCTCAAACCACCTCAAATGGCTTAAAATACCTAATCCAACCCAAAACTTAAAAAAATTTCAAAAAAAATAAAAATAAATAAATTCCGGCCCGAATCGGCCGGGCCGGGCCGGTTCACTAAACTGGAGGCCCGGGCCCGGACCGCTATACCCCTGTAGTGACCTACCCTCATTGATTAATCGACATTGACCGCTAGTAACTCATCAGCCCCAACCTCCTTCTCTAGCCCACTCCCCCAGCCCCCGCATCCCGCCGGTGCATCGCACCCCCACGGCCCCGCCCCTGGAAAGCAGTGCAATCACAACTTACGAAATCCTTGCCACCAACAGCTGGTGTCGACCTTCATGGTCTCATTTGCCCGTTGTCGTCAACGCTCATCGCCTTGATAAGTCCATTTTTGTACTTATTTTTCTTATCAAATTTAAGTGATTTTTGATTGAAAATAGAAAGAAAAGACATGTTTTAGATATTTTGGTTCAAGTTTCATGAAATCAGGTGAAAACCACATTCATAATATGTTTGCCGGAATTTCGGGTCAATTGAGCACAAAATGAGTCAATTTGAGTAACAAATGAATTCATACTGGGAGAAGCAAGCATTATTTCAAAGTGATCCAAAAGACAATTTTGAAGAGCAGGAAACACAGCATTTGCTAGACAAATTTAGCAGAAGGCGCCCAAAAAGCCCCCAATCTGGCCGCCTTTGAAAAATCAGAAGTCAACCGTTGACTTTGACCCGAACCAGCAGAAGACGGAAGGCTGCCGACAGAGGACGGAGGGCGGCCGCCCTCAGTGGCTGCCTGCGGCACAAGGGGACGAAGCCAACCACCGGCCGGTGCGATTCGACGGCAGGCGGTTAGAGAGAAACGGCGGGCGGCCGCCTTCGGGACCGCCTGCGGCTGACGAAGACCGGCGCACGTCGGTTTGTCGGCGACAAGACGGAGGGCGGCCAAAGCTGGACGAAAGGCGGCCGCCTAACTGGGTGCCTTCGGAAAAATTTGGGCTATAAATACCAGGCTTTTTCCTTATGTCAAGCACACCAATTTCAAGCCCAAATCAGATAAAAAAAGGGCGTCTTCTTCCTCCTCAAAGCTCGGATTTCCACCATTGTTGCACCTTCAACTTCAAACTTTCATATCTTTCTCATTTTAGCTCCAAATTGTGAGTTCTTTATATGTATTTTCATCCTTTAAATGTGTAGAATATGTACTCTGTTTGTTCTATCTGTGCTTCGAAAATTCCCAGAAAATTATTACATTATTTCACATTTTCTTCTTAATTTTGAATAAAATAGTTCTTGATATTGAATTCATTCCAATTAATTATATAGTTGTTTACTAGCCTCAAGGTAGTTATTTATCAAAACAAAGTTAATTTTTACGAAGCAGAGGTAATTTTTAATTAATTCCGGCATTTAGTTGTTATTATTGCATAAATTAAATTAAATACTCAAAAAGCTAAAAAAAAATTAGTTTCTGTCTTAATTACAGTTTAATTTACAATAATATCACTCCCAGTAGTCAATATAAAATTTAGAACGAATTTAGAATAATTTTAGTTGCGCTGAATCGCTCTAAAGATGAGAAATCTTCTAGCACCAGAAGAGGTTTTGTTTCTAATTTCCTTGTTTGAACTAATCTTGTTTATTTTAACTTTTTTGTGCTTTTGTTTTAAATCCTTTCACTCCCACTAGTGTTTTTAAATCTTCAAGCGTAGGGCAAGGTTTTTGCTTGGTCCTGATGCTGGCTGTGTTGAATGACTGCGGCTCAATCATTTCATAAAGATTGGGTCACTAGTTTGTTATGTTTGGGTTATTCTTCACCGGAAAGAATGGTATTTTGCAGGGAAGAAGTGTTACTCCGCTGATATGGAGAAGCATAACTACGGAGGTCTGAAATACAATCCAGCTTGGGAGAAATTTAAAACTACTGCAAAGGTAATAGTGATGTCTACAATGATTCATGGCGTGCATATATAGTTTTCTTCTACCATTTAATGCCTTCGCAAAAGAGAAAAAAACAGAATTCCTAAACTTGCAGGAGATTCATAAAAGTGACCCAGACTTGAGTAGATCATTTCGTAAAATGTTCAATCAGTTTCACAGCTACAAAAAGTGGAGTAATGGTGACTCGTTCGTGAAAGCGGTAATGCCATCATGCTGTCATGCATAAGCTCTCAGTTACTGTTGTTATTATTACTCCCTTCATCCTCGAAATTCTTCCCGATTTGATTTAGATCGGAACTTAAGAAAGTGAGAATAAATAAAATGAAAATATATAATTGTAATTGAGTAAGAAAATGGTAAATGAATGATAATCACACAAACTTTTCAAAAAAAGAAATGGGGAATTTTTTGGAACGTCTCAAAAAGAAAGGCTCAAAAAGAAAGGGAGAAGAATTTTTAGGATGAAGCAAGTGTATTTGTTCATTATTACTACACACGTGTGTAATTGTGTATTAATTTGTGCGCAGGTGAGTGAGCATTTTCCAGAATATCCCCAATTTGTTGAGGCATTATCTGAGCTCTTGAAAGCTAATCCAAAGTTGATACCAAATACTTCTCCACGGCCTGCAGGCTTCTAGCTTAATAGTTTGTGTTTGTTTCCCCTTACCCCTACCGGTGCTGTGGAATATATTTGTTTGCGGTTTTTACATGAATTGATGAACATTACCAAATTAGAGTCAATTTCCGGAATTGTGACCACTTTTAAATATTGACAAAAACGTGGGTAATAAAGTCAGATATTTGAAAGCCATGATTTAGGTGAAATTCATACCAATAATATGTACTTTTAACAGTTCTATAATGATAATCCCTACTAAAGAAGTTTATATATATATATATATATATATATATATATGGACCTTTTTGTTATGAATATTACCAAAATAGATATACTTCCTCCGTCTCATAAAACTTGGTCAATTTGACTTTTCTTGGTCAATGGTAATAAACTCCGAATAATGATTTTAGTTATTATATGTGTGTGAAACTTGTAACTTTTATACTTTAGAGGGCCACGGCCTCAACTGCAACCCCACTGTTTGTGATTGCAATGCTTCTTCCTTTAGCATTGTGGCATTTAATTTGAATTTAAGCCTTATAAATATATTTGCAGCCTCTGTTCTAAAAATCATTTTAGGCTTCCGACTAGTCCCCGCCTAAGCGCTAGGCGGTGGTCGGGCGCCCCGATTTTCGTCTAGGCGCTCCGACAAATTGGTTTGCCGTCTAGATGAATTAGTCGACCCGCCTATGACGTCTAGTTGCCCGCCTAGAGCGCCTAATCGGCCGCCTAGGCCGTCTTGATTCGCCGAACATTACTTTACTTTTAAATTTCAATTTTCTAAGTGATATACTATTTTTAGCTTTAGCCAGAGATATAAAGAAATGAAGTTGTAAATTAAGATAAAAATGTATATGTTTGTATATATACCAAAATTTTATCAATATTTATATTAATGACATAATGAAATTAAGAGATTAGTTATCATATACTATGTATGATTAAATTTGATAATTCTCATTCATGTTTGTTAATGTATATGTATATATGTATTTTATAGACATAAAAATACAATATTACTTATCATATTTATGTAAAAAATATAGATAAAAATACAATTTATATGTCTCCGACTAGTCCCCGACTAGGCGCCCGCCTAGCCGCCTAGGCGTTAGGCGCTGGGCTGGCGCCCGACTAGCGCCTAGCGCTTTTTAGAACATTGTTTGCAGCTAGTGTGTATAATCTGATTACTTAAATCATTT